TCCTCTAAGTTCATCTGTCCCCTGTTTTGCTTGAGCCGCAGACTCATACCTTGCATGTTAATTCCACACATTCCTTTCGTTAATAATTACGGTGTGACGATGACGAACGGCACCCAGGGAGACCTGTGGGCAGCCCACTGCCTTCCGGGTTCTGTAAAGCTTGGTCACCGACTAAAACTCATGAGGGAATAATGTGCACCACAGGGAAAACCATGACTGCTCATTGCTCAGAGGTCAGCATACTCTTTTCCTTAAACAAAGCCATAGAGGGGAAAACGCCATCTATCTGCAACAGGATGGAAAAACACCCAATTCTCAGTAAGGACTCAACCACACAGAGAACATAAAACAATCTTTAAAGAAATTAAAGAAGATCCAGATAAATTAAGGGATAGGCCATATTCATGAATTAGAGGACCCAATCTATATATATAAAAGGCTAAGTGAGCAACTGTCCATCTATCTGACCGTCTGACTGGCCAGTACACTTGACACACACTGGCAATTTAAAAATAAATGTTGACTCGTGCATGCAGGATACATATAAAGCTCTCACTGGTGCCAATTGCACTCGTGTGTTTCGATCTGTCATTGTAGATCGTGAATTTGGTTGACACTTCTATTATAGAGAAAGGGCGAATAGCAATATTAAAATATTTCTTTTAATTAATTTCCTTTCAATGTGCACGGATTCATGCACCAGGCCACTTGTATTGTCATAAAGATGTCAGATCAAGTTACAGAATTAATAACATTACCACAAAAACTGAGCAGCTCTTCTGGAAATTGGCAAGCTAATTGGAGGTGCAGAAAGCTAAGGTGATCCGAGCAGATTAAGGGAGTGGGAGGGACTTAGGGGGACCTATGATTCTGGACACAAGACTTCCTACAAAACTCAGCAGTTAAGATAGTATGGCCTCAGTGCAGGGACAGACAAATGGACCCACAGGGGAACTGGCAGTCAGAGCAGACAGGTATGCACAAATGATAAAGGTGGTCCTGCCGATGGTGGGGAAATGGTCAATAAATGGAGCTGGGTAAATGGGATCTACTGGCAGGAAAATGAATCTTGATTCTTGCCTCACACTGTACATAATACATATTAGGTGGATGGTAGAAGTTTCTAGAAGATAACAGAGCAGAAGTAGGAGATCTATAAGGAAAGATTCCTTAGGACAAAACCCCATTCCTGAGGAAAGATTGATGAATTCAACTGTGTTAGATCCATTAAGAGAGCGGGAAGGCAGGCCAGGGAGTGGAGATGTTTGCAGTGGGACACGCCCAACAAAGTCCTCGTGACCAGAACAGACAGAGAACGCTGACAAGTCAGCACAATGGCTCCATGGAAAATGGAGAAAAAGACACAAATGGGCAACACGCACGCACACACATGACACGTGTACACACACACTCACATCTAAAGACCAATAAATCTGTGAGATGCTCCATTTCCTTAGATTTCATGATGTGCAAATTAAAACCACACTAAGAAACCATGACACATTTGCCACAGAGGCTCAACGAGAAGGGCTGAAGTGCCGAATGTTGGCGAGAATGGAAAGCAACTGGACTTTTGCACTCGCCACAGCGAGGGTGTGACTTGCGCACTCACTTTGAAAAGCTGTTTGGCATCATCTCCTGAAGCTGAACTTTGGCTACCATGCCCAAGTAATTCCACTCCTGGGTGTGCTCTCAGACACGCATCTGTGTCACGCCAACGGGCTCAGACAGGGTACAGCCCAAGTGTCCGTCAGCAGGAGAGGGGATTAGCCAGAGGTGGGGTACCCATGCAGCAAAACTCACACAACGATGGGGGTGAAAACTGCGACACGCACACACTTGAGTGAATGGACAGGCACCAAGGAGCACAGCACACAGTGCTCCACTTACATGCAGGCCAGCATGACCACCCCCGGGAGGGAGAGAGGGGGAGACCCACAAGGCGCTGTGGGTGTCCTGCTTGCTGACTGGGTGCTGGTTACACGGGAACTCAGCGCGCTGTATATGATATGGGTATTTTCCAGCCTAAATGTTACACTGCAATCGCAAAAGTGTATTAGGAAAACATCCCTGTGGGTAGTGCACTTGCCATCATAGAGCCCCAGGTAAGGTGAGAGCCATCAGGTGAGCTGGAAGCCACCAGGTGAGACTGGAACCTCCGGGTGAGGTGGGAGCTGCCAGGTGAGGTGCGAGCCAGCAGATGCATCCCCTTCCACCAGGAGCTGGTCTCTGCCTGTTGGTCCCACATTCATGTCCAGAGCCCCTGGCCCTGGACAACACTGACCAAGGGCAGCACCACTCTGACCTCTGTGTCCCCTTCTCTCTGTGAAAGCAGTCTGTTGGGACTGTGGGGTGCACAAAGGTTGGAGTCCAACTTCGAGTTACGGCCACATTCCTGCGATGCCTCCCCGAGGATGTCTTATTTGACATTTGGGGCATCCCAGCCGGCCTTCGCCAGAGTTACAGGTAGGAGAGGTTGTGGGAGATGTGTACAGGTCCTCGTCATTTATCAACAGACTCTGAGAATGTTTTCACCGACAATAGCCACAGTCTTCGTGGCCCATGGTTGTGGCCTCTGTGCCCCAGACGGTGGCTTCCCAGTGCGGACCTGGGGCCGCAAGGGTCGGCCTCTGTGCCGAGCAAAGGGAGGACAGAGGACCAGAGAGACGGCTGTGGACGGTGCGTCCATGGGGCATCCTGGAAGGGGGTGGCGTGGCCTGGAGGTGCCAGGAAGAAGGAAGTCACTGGCCAGGAGGCACCGGTGCTCCTACCTCACCCCCAGGGGTGATTTCCTAATAAACTTCTGGCCGCAAAGTGCCCAAATCATACAGCATGATGAGTTCCCTGAGTCCCTGAGGGTTGGAACCAGTTCAGAAAAGTGGGACCTTGGCTCTAGAAGACATTTGGCCTGAGCCTCCCGCTCTGCCCCCGAAGTCACCGCCTGGCAGGCGGGTGGAGATTGGGGGGCTCCGTGTTCCAGGTGGCATGGCCCGTCCTCCCAGGGAGGGAATGGCCTCGAGGCCACACTCCAGTCTTTCCTGTGGACTTTCTCTTCACAGATAGGGCTTGCTGCAGAGTGTTGGATGAGGTGTTTATGAGGGAGTCAGCACTGGGGGCCATGTGAGAACCCCCTGGGGTAAGGCCGAGGTACCTGTTCACTGGGGGCCATGTGAGAACCCCCTGGGGTACCTGTTCACTGGGGGCCGTGTGAGAACCCCCTGGGGTACCTGTTCGCTGGGGGCCATGTGAGAACCCCCTGGGTAAAGCTGGGGTACCTGTTCTAATGTTTCAGACAGACGTGATGCACCAGAACATTTATGACTACATCCACGTGGACGACCGCCAGGACTTCTGCCGGCAGCTCCACTGGGCCATGGACCCTCCCCAGGTGGTGTGTGGGCAGCCCCTGCGTTCGGAGACAGGTGGGTCTCACCGAGCCTGGGAGCCCAGGAGACTGCCCCTGACCTCCATCTCCTTCCCTTCACATCGATGCAGCGTCCCCTCTTCCAGAGACCGCTCCTGCGTTCCTCTTCCCCTCCAGACGGGCCGCAGGGCTGTGGGACTCCTGAGCACGATGGTGTCTCCTGCCCCTCTCTGGGCTCTGCCAGGGCCCGGGAACCCCTCCCCCAAAAGCTGCGGTGCTTGTCTTTCCCCAGGGACACGGTCTTCCAGGAAATTCCTTTGGCCCCATTTGATTTACCTAAAAAAGAAAGCCCCCAGGGATTGTTGTCTGCTCACAGATGTGCCCCTTGCGGGCTGGACGCCCTCCTGGCAAAGCCCCACCCGACCCAGACCGAGGCCCCTGCCCACTCAGGACACGTTTGGCAGGCATCCAGCTCCTGCGGAGGTGGCAGGGCAGACTGGCACGCAGAGGAAGCGCACCCGGGCACGAGGAGACAGGGTGCCTCCCCCTGGGGCCCAGCAAGGGGGAGTGAGTCCCAGTCTCCCCAGAAGTTGTAAACGATTCAAGAAAAGTTTCCAACACAGCCTCACGCAACAGCATAATTTCCTCAGAAAGCTGAGTGAAGGGAGCAAACCCAGGTGCTGACACGCGAGCCCGTTTGTCAAGCTCAAAAGGGACAGGCTAAGCAGCCGGTGGTGTCACACGCGCAGGCACCGAAGTGACGTGTGTCGTTTTCTCAGTCCTCACCAGAGCATTTGTTTTCATGGATTTTTTTTTAATGTGGATGATTTTTTTTTTGCCTTTTATTATATAGGATTTTATTGGGGTGACATTAGTCTACATGAACACATAGGTTACATGTGTGGATTACTAATTTACAAAATCTGTATGTAGGACCATACGCCCACCACCCAAAGTCGAATCTCCTGTCAGCGAGAGAGGAAGGGGTAGGGAGAGAGAAGCATGGGTCGGTTGCTCCTGTCCTGGCCCCAACTGGGGATCAGACCCACAGCCTAGGCATGTGCCCTGACGGGGAAGCAAACCCTTTGGTGTATAGGATGATACTCCAACCAACTGAGCCACCCAGCAAGGGCCAAAGTGACGCTTTTAAAGGCAAAGGACTGTGAGCACACTTGTGGGAGCAGCTGTCACTGTGGGGTCTTGGGGACAGGGGATGGGCAGGACGTTAGGGACCGTGTGAATTGCACCCTAAACCAGTGATGGTGAACCTATGACACATGTGAGGTGACACGTGAACTCATTTTTTTGGTTGATTTTTCTTTGTTAAATGGCATTTAAATATATAAAATAAATATCAAAAATATAAATCTGTTTTACTATGGTTGCAAATATCAAAAAATTTCTGTATGTGACACAGCACCAGAGTTAAGTTAGGGTTTTTCAAAATGCTGACACGCCGAGCTCAAAAGGTTTGCCATCACTGCCCTAGTCGGTGGGTGTGTTACGTGGTGATAGCTGCCTCGTAGCGCACAGCTGATCAGCGTGTTTTTTCTGTTTCCCTGTCATGGCCTTCGGGCTCTCACCCCAACCTGCGCCCACCTGGGCAGGAGAGGATATCATGCTGGGGAGGCTGCTCCGGGCCCAGGAGGGGGGCGCCGGCCCCACCGAGTACTCGGCCTTCCTGACGCGCTGCTTCGTCTGCCGCGTGCGCTGCCTGCTGGACAGCACCTCGGGGTTCCTGGTGAGTGAGTGGTGGGGGCTCTGGAGATGTTTGGGTGCCCCATGTCCTGTGGCAGAAGGAACGGAGGGGGAAGTGAGGGGCTGGGGGTGACCTGCGTGTGGTTCTCAGCAGGACTGAGGGATGACGGGTGGGTGAAGGAGAGTGAATAGAGGAGATGACTCAGTGACGTGTTAAAACTCTGCAGTAGGTCTCACACTGTTCTGAGTTTTAATTTATGTTTAGTTGTACCTTTATTTCAAATTCATGTGCAAAGATTTTCCCGGGACACCCAACAAGCTCCCAACCGAGACCACGTTCCTGCCAGGCCTTTTGGCTTAACCTCTTCTCTTGCAAATAGATACTGTGCTCCCACTTCTCACGTTTGACCGTTTCCTCTTCCAGCTTCTCACTGAAGGGATGGAGGGAAGGGAGGAGGCATCCTCCTGGGGGCACAACAGAGCAGAGCCCCTAGCCCGTGCCACACCTCTGTCCACCTCCCAGACTGTATTCCAGAGCCTCTGTCGCTTCCCTGCCCCAGCCCAGTGCCCACACTGTCCTCGGGGTCACAGCCTCCCTAGAGGCCCAGCACCCCCATCCTTGGGCAGCAATTCAACACCAGACCCTCTGACCCCAGGGCCTTTCACTATCAGTGCTGCAGGGCAGGGCCCTGGGGCTGTCTCCAGCCCTGCCTGGGTGTGTGCACTGCTGTCCCAGCCACTGCACACCCTCCCAGCCCGACCTAGCCCCGTGTCCAAGAGGAGTTCGTCTCCCCCTCCTGGACTTTGGGCCCCTACCTGGGGTCTGTGTCCCCACCTGGACTATGAGCCCCTTGAGGGTCCATCTCCATACCTGGGCTGTGGCCCTGGGAGGCACAAACCCCTGGAGTTTGGTGTTTGGTGTTTGGCAAAACCCCGGAGTGTTGGGCCAGGGCTGGGCTGGGCTGGACTGGAGATTTCTAGCTGGTGCTCAGCATGCATGTAGGAAGGGAAGACAGACAGAGGACAGTCCTTTAAGTGGCTCTGGAAGAGGGAGCCATCCCTGCAGACCAGCTTTCGGGCGCCACCTACCGGCTGGCTGCATCAGTGCCCATCTCACTGATCTTGTTTTGTGCCAGTTTTTCCAGCTCAGAGCCCTTTGAGCCACCGCACACCCTCACCCCCCATCCCAGCCCCAGACCTTCGGGAAATGCACACCCAAACCTCCCACATCAGAACTGCCCAGCGGCCCTGGGCTGAGGGCCAGACCCCCTCAGGACTCGAGACCCTCGGCATCACTCACTTGGGCGCTGGTCTCTGCAGGCAGGGCTCAGTGCAGAGGCCGCTACCAGCTGGTGGCTGTAGTTTCATTAACCTTTTCCTGTTGGTTGTTTTGTTTCTGCATTAACGATTGTCTTAATAAAAGCATTACTTGTGCACAGTACAAATTCAGTCACTTCAGAACAGCCGAGAATGAAACCAATACTCCTCCTTTGCATTTACCTGCTTCTCAGGGTGTCACGGCCCCTACACATGTCCCTCCTGGGGTGTTTCCCCAGTTTCTGGCTCCCCTCCCCCACAAATCCCCCCCTTCTCTGCTCCACCCTGACCACTGAGGAAGCAGAGCTGCTGCTGGGCCTGGGAGACCCTCCCCTCAGGTCCCTGTGTCCTTCACGCTCACATGTGAGGGTTGGCTCGCACACCCGCAAACCCGTGAGTGCACACACGAGGACATGCTTGTCAGTTAAAGGACATTACAGAGACTCCAGAGCAGCTGGGAACCACTCGGAGGCCTTGGGGTAGTCCCTGTCCCACGGAGGCCAGGCATGGAGAGACGCTGGTGCATGCCTCCTCGGTGACTGGGGATAAGGTTCTTGTCCATGTTTAGATCCCTGGGAACGTCATTTCCACCTGCTTTGACCAGGTTGCTAATCGCTCTGTGAACATGTTTCTGTCCTTAAAACATCAGACGATGCAGTTTCAAGGAAAACTGAAATTCCTGTTTGGCCAGAAGAGGAAGGCGCCGTCGGGAACAGCCCAGTCCCCTCGGCTCTCGCTGTTCTGCGTCGTGGTGCCCGTGCTCCTCCCTTCTGTGGCAGAGATGAAAATGAAGGGCGCGTTTCTGCGGGCGAAGCACAGGGCAGACGGCTCCACCGCAATGGATGCGAAGTGAGTAAGCCCCTCGGCTGCCACGCTCACCATCGCTGGTGCTTCGAGCGGAGTGCCTGACACGTAGCTCTTTCTACATTTTCTCCATCTTCAGAAAGCGAGGGAGAGAGAAATGTGGTGGTTTTTAAGCTGGCACATTATGGGAGCAACCATTAGAAAAACAGAAATGCTTTTGTGAACTGTGGCAGCAAACACTGCCTCCACCATTTGTCCCTAAATCCTCCAGTTCCCATCAAGCCCCAACGGCCACCTGCACAGCTGTCCCTTTGCGGGGTGTGAGCGTCCACTCCTTCTCAGCACCCACGATTCACCTCTGATGTCTTCCATGACCATTTAGATGAGGCGCGGGGAGTCTTTTTTCTGCCAAAGGCCATTGGATATTTATAACATCATTCGCAGGCCATACAAAATTATCAACTTAAAAGTTAACCGCTATATCTGGTCACACATTTAATTAACTCACTCCTAATGCCTTGCAGGGCCAGACCGAATGAGTTCGCTGGCCTTATACGGCCCGCAGGCCGGTCACTCCCCACCGGCAGGGTGATTGGAAAATCTGACAGCAGACACGGTGATTGGAGCGCTCCCACTGTGTGCTCTGCTTTCGCGAGATGCTCATTCTCATGTCCACGCTCTGTGGGGTGGTCTGCCTCGGGGCTGCAGCTGGAGCCCCTGCCTTCACAGCATGAGCCCCCACCGTGCTGCTGCCGGCCTCACGCGTCTGCACTGAAGGTGGCTCCCAGGAACACAGCCGTGGGCCTGGGGCTGCCCTCGGGCCCCTGACACGTGCCAGCATGCTAAGACAGCAGTTTTGTGGAGTGTTTTTTAGTGAAATATACATATGTCTTTTCACTTTTAAAGGTGTAATATGTCATGACACACGAAAGAGAGAAAACAGAATAGCCAATGAGAACAACTGTAAGTGTAAGTGATGAAGCAAGCTAAATCGGGAAGGTGTGCTGAGGGCAAAGGTTATTGTCCAAAGACCAACACACTGTGCAGAGCCCATTGCAAAGGACTTAATGTGCCTGGTGGGGGATGATTCTGTCCACACCTGCTTTTTTAAAAAATATATTTTTTATTGATTTTACAGAGAGGAAGGGAGAGGGGTAGAGAGTTAGAAACATCGATCAGCTGCCTCCTGCACACCCTCTACTGGGGATGTGCCAGCAACCAAGGTGCATGCCCTTGACCAGAATTGAACCTGGGTGCATGCCCTTCTGTCTGCAGACTGGCTCTGGATCCACTGAGCCAAACCAGTTAGGGCTCACACCTGCTTTCTTACCACCTGGACTAACACACTCATACTCTGAATTATTTTCCATCTTCATTTACTGTCTTCCAGTTTTTGTGTTTTTAAGCTGTTGTGGCCTGATAATTATAACTGAAGCTGCACAGTGACTTTTCTGTTTTCCGTATGTTTTTCCAACCCTACAAACGAGAGGAAAATTCTACCCTTCCCATCCTCTCCTAGAGGTCTGTGTGCAAGCTGGGCTTCTGTCGCCCCCTGGCGCCCATGTGGGGAAGCGCAGGCTGGCTGCACAGGTGCTGTGAATGCATAGGGATGCACATATAATGCAGTTGAGTCAATATTAGGTATCGTATTGTATAGAATTTCCTTAAAACTCAGAATAGGGATAGACAAAGGCCCTCAGAGAACATTGATTCTGTTCAATATTCTAATAAAGGAGAGAACAGCTGCCTCGAGCTTCCTGGGTTGGGAATTTCCAGCTGCTCTGAATGGAATTCCTAAACCAAGGTTTCGTTCAGGAGTCATGTTTGCTTCCCTCTGAGCTCAGAGACGGTGGAAGGTGCATACTCAGAGAATCAGAGGCCCTGAGGGCTGCTCTGGATGTGTTTTGTTGTCTCTGCAGATGCTATTCGAGTTCTTCATAACTTTCCTGACGGGTTTGTGACACACCTTCATGCCTGATTGTACATGGATTCTGTATGTGTAAATCCATCTACTTGCTAACACTTATTTGTGCTCCAAAATCAATACCCAGGGGCCTTTGCAGTCATTCATAATCTTGCACAGAGTGACAGATATTTGAGTCGTCAATGAACATGTTCCCACCGAGAGAGACATTTCACCTCTTCCTCTGCTCTCTCCTCTCCCTTGTCTCTGTTCTCTTACCTCTGCTCTTAGCCCCTGCCTCTCACCCCTGTTCTCTCGTCTCTGCTCTGCTACAGAGATGACCAGGGGATGGAGAGGTGGGGCAGGGACAGCAGGGCAGGAGGCTTTGGCTCTGGGGCCCGCCAGGTAGAAGGGATTTGAATCCCCACTCCTGCCCCTGCTAGAGGGATGGCTTCAGGCAAGTCCCTTAACACTTCTGAGCCTATATTTTTTTTTATTTAAAAAAATATATTTTTATTGATTTCAGAGAGGAAGGGAGAGGGAGAGAGAGACAGCAACATCAATGATGAAAGAGAATCATTGATGGGTTGCCTCCTGCACACCTCCCACTAGGGGTCGAACCCGAAACCCAGGCATGTGCCTGGACTGGAATCAAACTGGGACCTCCTGGTTCATAGGTCAATGCTCATCCACCAAGCCACACCCACCAGGGACCTGTATTTTTTTGGAAAAATTAATTTTAAAAAAGAATCTAGCAGAATGCATTTCCTCAGGCTTAAGATTCTGCCTAAGCTCTGTGACAGGTGTGTTTATACGTGTGTGTGTGTGTGTGTGTGCATGTGCGTGTGCATGCAGGAAGATGGCTCAGTGTTCACTAATTTAGTAGTTCACGATGGCTGTGTAGAGCGGGGGTGGGGGGGACGTCCAGCCCACAGGCTGTATGAGGCCTGAAAAATCATTTGGTCTGGCCCTGCCAAGGCATTAGGGGGGAGGCAATTAAATGTTTGACCAAATAGAGCAGGCTAATGTTTAAGTTAATAATTTTGTGTGGCCCGTGAATGATGCTATAAATACCCAAATGGCCCTTGGCAGAGAAAGGTTCCCCACCTCTGGTAGAGCGTAACTGGTGTAAATGACAAGAACTTACTGTATTTTCACTCTGGCCATCCAGAATACAGTACAGGCACTGAAAAATCATCCAGTGTGCAGGTCTGCTTTCTGAAGCAAATCCATTAGGCCTTTCTTGGCCTGAACAGTGACATGAATTGGAATTTTTAGCAAATCTCTCACTGAGAAAAGACTTTACAATCTATACAAAGTTAAAAAGTATGAGTCACTGTTGTGTCTCCCCCTCCTAGCCATAACTGTAATGCCTGTCATATTGTTAACTTCCACCGTCAGCACATGTCATCTGCATATTATTTTGCTATTATCTGTTCTCCGCAGAGCAAAAGCCACCAGGAGTCTGTGTGTATCAGAATTGCACGGGAAACCCAATTACTTAGCAGGTACTTTTAAAAGATCACTATGTTACCCTTTTTATTATTATTTTTTAAATATGTTTTTATTGATTTCAGAGAGGAAGGGAGAGGGAGAGAGAGAGAGATAGAAACATCAATGATGAGAGAGAATCATTGATCGGCTGCCTTCTGCACATCCCACACTGGGGATAAAGCCTACAACCTGGGCATGTGCCCTGACTGGGAATTGAATCGTGACTTCCTAATTCATAGGTCGATGCTCAACCACTGAGCCATGCTGGCTGGGAAACTGTCACTTTTTTTTAAATGGGTAAAAGGTGTCAGTGTCCCTTGGAGGGCTCCCCCAACTCCCGGGAACCATGGCATGCTCCATGGAAGTGCCGTTGGGAGCAAGCGAGGCTGGGCGACAGCCAGTTCCCGGGGACGCGGGTCTGCGCAGCTCTGAGGGGCTCCAGGAGCCGTGTCCACAGAGAGTAAAGCGCTCTGTGGGCCCAGGTGCTGCTCAGGGCCCCCGTGACGCCTTTCCCTTCTCTGCATCCTGACAGGAAGAAACAGTGGAGAAAACGGCATTTCTGTGTTCAGGGCACAGATGGACACCTGCCGCTGGGGCCGGGTTCCCGCCAGGGCCACGTGCCTGTGCCTGCGGGGTGGCCCCGACCTTGTCCTGTACCCCGAGGGGGCCGCCGGGTAAGTGGTGCCTCTGCCCAGCCCAGCACCTCCCGCAGTCACAGCCGGGTGTCAAGGAAGAAAAGAGCGACTGGTGGCCTTGACCGTGATGGCTAAACCTTGCTCTTAGTTGAACATGCAAATACACACAGAACACACCCAGACATGCTTCTCGCCCTATAAGCCGTCATTACACGTCTGGGGACTGGCTGGAGATGGGGACAGGACTTCCGTGGGGGCTGTAGGACCTTTGGACCCCCCTCGCCTGGAGCTGGACCCTGGCGGGGGGGGGGGGCTGCCTCATCCTCTGCCCTCCCCTTTGCGTGGAAACACTCTGCAGCCCCCCCAGGCCCCACCCCTCCCCTGACACGGCTCTCCTCTTGGAGGCCTGGACTGCTGTGTGGTCGCAGGACCACCTCGCCCTCCCACCACACCTTGCATCACCACAGGTGATGCCACACCGTGCAATGTACATGACAGGACCTGGCACGCAGAAACCACCCAGAACCCCCTCTCCCAGCGTTAGTAGCTACTTCACACGTGGCCTGTGTCTCATGGAGATGCTGCTCCCTGCACCCCTACCCCACCCTACCCCATCCCACCCAGCCTCAGAGTCCCCCGTGGCGCCCTGGCGGTGGGAGGGTCTTGCACAGGAAGCAGGGGTGCTGACACTGGCTCATGGGCTGCAGGGTTGAGAGTGGCAGGGTAGTGCGGGCGTAGAGTGGCCCTCATAGTCGGTCAGTGCCACCCTAATTTAGAGCCCTCCCCTCTCTCTGCCCTGCTGTCTGATGGGCCGTCTCTCCACAGGGACTGGGGAGGTGAGGAGCATGGGAGGGTGCCCAGCGGCGGCTCCGGGGTCAGGAGGAGGAGGGAAGCACACGCTTACGACTGCTGCTTCGAGACGCCAGGACCCATGAGGCAACTGAGCTGGACGGCAGGCCAACACGGTCAGAACGGCCCCAAGCCAAAGCTGGAGCCCAGCAGGAGTGACCCGTTCCCTGTGCATGCCACCTCCCGGGGCTCCTGCATGCCCTACCCCAGCGCCCCGGGCACCATCCCTGCCTTCCGGAATTCCCCTGGTGCTCACCAGGCCCCCAGTGCCTATGCCAGCCGGCCGAGCAGAGCCTTGCAGGATGGCGAGCAGGGCCTGGTCCACTCTCCTGCCAGCGGCCCCTTCCCCCTGGAGAGCCTGGAGAACCAGGTCCCTCCGCCGGGAGTGCAGTGCCTCGCAGTGGGGGGCTATGCCGCCCAGGACATCAAGTTGCCAGGTGTGCCCATGTCCCCGGAGGCCCCGTGCAACCCCATGCTGTCACTTAACGTGCCCATCAAGATGGAAAGTGACTCTGGTTCCGAGGATGCAGCAGATGGCTACTCTGTGTCGCCAAGCCAGGTGTGGCTGGGAGCCAGCGACGTGGCTAAGAGACAGCTGGTCACGTTCCCTACCAGGATGCACCTGAAAACAGAGCCAGACTCCAAGCACCACCTGTACGCCCCGCACCTGGGGCCTGGCATGCTGGGGGCTCCCCCCAGGCCTGGCAGGGAGCTGGCCCCCTTCCACCCCGCACACTTTGTCTGCCTGGAGCGTGGGCACGGCCCTCCTGAGCCAGAGCCTCCCCCCTGCCTCTGTGTGCGGGGCCACCGGCCCCCCACTCTGGGCTGTGACTGCAGAGCTCCAGGGACCACACCCATGATCAAACTTGAGCCCTTGGACTCACCCCCATGGGCCGCTCACAGCCAGGATGGGGCGCCCAGGATGCTCCCCAAAAGTGCCTTGGCAACACTGGTGCCGCCCAAAGCCTCCGAGTGCTCTTTTCTGCCATGAGCCGGGCGTTTGTTCCGTGGCATCTGCCCCGCCCCGATGGACTGTCCGCTGGGATGGCAGGTGCAGGCCGGAGCCTCTCTTCAGGGGCGCTCTGCAGGTGGCACAGGTTCAGTCCTCTGTTATCTGGTGGCAGATGCAAGAGTGTGTTCTGTGTTTTGTAAAATATCACCAAAGTTCTTAAATGCAAAGTGGTCTTAAGTCTGTTCAAGTTTGACAGTATTTCTCTTCGAGGGGCTGAGTTTTTCAGGAAGCGGACACAGTGAGGCATGTGGGCCAGGTGGCGCTTAATCCAGGCTCGGGAGGCGGCAGCAGGCTCCGGGCTGACTGGCAGTCCCCGGGGCATGAAAGCTGTGACATTCCCTGCGGCCCCACACCTGCCTCCAGCTCCCCGTCTGTTCAGAGTGCAGCCGCGCCCTGGGGATTCCGCGGCCAGACAGGCCCTTGGGGCTGGAACTCGCTCAGAGGCAGGTGACCATGCCCCATTCCCGGCAGGAATCTAGGGAGTTCCAGGCAGAAGGCACTGGAAGCATCAGGTCCTATGGCATGTGCTCTGCGACCCACATGGAGTTGGAGGCCAAACTGGAGTGGTGATTCATGGGGTGATGTCCAGTTCCTTCTAGAAGTCTCTCTGGGGCTTTGAATAGGCCTCTGAAGATGGTTTACGCTCACCTGTCTCTTGGTGCAGCATGTGACCTAGAGTTCCCGGAGTCTGGGTTTGGAGGTAGAGAAAAGTTGAAAACATGGAGAAAAGAAACAGGAGAGTGCATTGTCCTGCTGTTTTGCTGACTGTCCACAGTTTTTCAAATGAGGATTCCAATCACCATCCCAGGAAGAGTTGTTAGAGAAAAGCCAGGCAGGTGACTTCTTTAATTGGAAGGGTAATACGTTCTGATTGCAGGAAATTTGGATACAAAGCATAAATCAAAACGTGAAGGTGACCCTCAATCCCCATCCAGAGATGGCTTGTAGCCAATGGCAAAGTTCCAGGGGAACCTAGGGCATCCCATCGGGGTCTGAAAGCCAGCAGGCAGGAGGAGGCCACAGCAGGGAGGCCCTGGATCTGGGGTGTGCCCGTGGCCCTGCCTGTACAGGACAAGGACACCTACCTTTAAAGTCACTGCCGCTGGGCGTCTCAGGAGGTGGCTGGAGCCCCCGGTGAGGACTTGCTGTTCCATCTGGAAATTCTGCTCTCAGTGCGGGGGTTTCTGTCGCTGGTGGCTTTGGGATGCTCGTGTTCAGTTCCTGGGTTAATGCTGAAACTGTTTGGTAAATGCCACCCTGGGGACCAGCCACTCTGAGGACCACCTACTGCCCCTTCTCGCCCCACGTTGCCCCAGTATCCCATCTACCCAGTTCTCACACTGAGCATAGCACACCTCTGCTCTCTGGGTAGCTGTGGATTTAATCCCAAAGACAAGCAGTGGAATTTCAGAATTTTCCTGCTGCTTTCTATTCGAGCTGAGTGCCCACTTCTCATCACAGGAAGCCCCCCCACCCCCACCCCTGTCTCTCAGAAGTAGCCTTCACTCTTTGTGCTCCCGCCTGGGGGGGCACTCCCTCAGCTCCTCTCACTTCATTCAGCGGAGGGGAAGCAGGCCACTGCCTTCCCCATCCCAGAGTACCGCAGACAGGTGAGTGTGTAACTGGGGGAACGGGACTGAAGAGATGGAATTCACAGACATCGTGGCATTTTTTGCACATTGTAGCCAGATCCCAGCGAAACCAAAGGAGAGCTGTAGGCATGAACCTCACGTGAGGAGAAGCCTTTCCAAACTCACTCAGCGGTCCCTGCCTGCGAGGGGCCTGGGCTGCCCCCTCCTGCCAGCATCAGGCCCGTGCTGCCCCATCTCCTCCCTAACGTTCAGATGAACACGTCTGCCCACATTCTCTTGGAACCCCTGCATCTAATGGGCCGCCGCTGGGATGACAGGTCATGCTTGTTGATGTAGAATTCAGCATCTGGACCTCAACTCTGAAGTTTTCTGTCCGAGACCTCCGTGGTGCTTGGACCCAGGGCCCTTCCTCTGCTGAGTCAGCAGCAGCAAAACTTCCCTGAGTCAGCACTTCTGTTATTTTACATGCTTACGTGGGAAAATTTGTGTGGGGAAGACGATGATGGGGGGCAGAGAAATGTCAGAGGTGTTTATATTTTCCTTGTCTCCGAAGCTTTGACTATGTCACTGAAACAGGTTACAATCAAATAGAAGGTAAAGATGGGATGGAAGAGGGGAGGGAGGGGAGATAAACACAAATTATATTTTATATTTTTGCAGTTTCTACTGGAAGAAAAAGGTTTTCAATATCTAGACTGATTTGTTGAATTTTACAAATGGATGACTATAATGTAACTTTTTGTAGTTTTCTTGGTGCCTTTAGAAAGAGCTTTCAAATGTATTTCTGATACTGTGGTTTCATTACATTTGCAATATTGATGTTCAATAAATCACAGTAATATGGGTTTAGCATAAATGGAAACATCTACTTGATTTTTCAAATGAAGTCATTTTATTTCCTTTAAAGTGTGTGTTGGCGAATGTACATTCTAAGACAGTCCTTCCCAGGGGAGAGCAGGCCAGCCAGCCCCCATTTGCTGGGCCAAACCCTCCTCTGCAGTGGCCGCCTATCCTCCCTTGTGCCCCCCGTACCCAACCCCTGGCTTGCTCATGTTCTGCACACTCACCTGTGTTGAGACCTGAGATGGAAGTCACTTGCTTGCACTCTGTCACATGACTATCCCGCTCCTGTGGGGACAGATGGGCATGGGGGTGAATCCCAGACTCTCCAGTGTGCTCCTTGGGACTGAAGTAACTGGAGAAACTGCTTTTGGGGATTGTTCTTCGCCCTGGTCCACTCTTGCATTGATGCACCCTTTGAGAATTCTGGCCTCATGGAGGCGTCTCAGAGTCTACCTCCTGGCCCTGTGTGGGTGTGAAAGCCCCACCCTGGCATCAGGACCACGCCCTCCCCTGCTCCAGGGGACGTTTTTGCTCACCTCACTTTCCCCTCCCTCTTTGCTTTGCCACCCTGGTCATTTCTTATGCTTGGTTGTAAAGTCTGTGCATTTAAAAGGTACATATAAAACTTACTGCCCTAACTGGTTTGGCTCAGTGGATAGAGCGTCAGCCTGCGGACTGAAGGGGACCGGGTTCGATTCTAGTCAAGGGCATATACCTTGGTTGCAGGCACATCCCCAGTAGGGAGTGTGCAGGAGGCAGCTGAATTGATGTTTCTCTCTCATCGATGTTTCTAATTCTCTATCCCTCTCCCTTTCTCTCTGTAAATAATCAGTAAAATTTATTTTAAAAAAACTTACTTATTTTGGTTAATCCTCACCTGAGGATATCCCCCCCCTCCCCCCATTGATTTTTAGAGAGTGGAAGGGAGGGAGTGGGGGGAGAGAGAGAAACATCGCTGTGAGAGGGACATTGATCGATTGCCTCCTGCACATGCCCCAACCCCATCCAGGTTGGGCATGCAACCCAGGTACATGCCCTTGATCAGGAATCAAACCTGAATTTTTTGGTCCACAGGCCGATGCTCTAACCACTGAGGTAAAATTTATTTTAAAAAAACTTACTTATTTTGGTTAATCCTCACCTGAGGATATCCCCCCCCTCCCCCCATTGATTTTTAGAGAGTGGAAGGGAGGGAGTGGGGGGAGAGAGAGAAACATCGCTGTGAGAGGGACATTGATCGATTGCCTCCTGCACATGCCCCAACCCCAGCCAGGTTGGGCATGCAACCCAGGTACATGCCCTTGATCAGGAATCAAACCTGAATTTTTTGGTCCACAGGCCGATGCTCTAACCACTGAGTAAAACCAACCAAGGCAAAGGGTGATTGCTGTTTTTATTCAACGCTTTATAGAAGGCATTTCAGTTACTTGATTTTTCAAAAAACAGAAGTCAGGAAAGATTTTTAATCAATGTTTTGTTCTGTTAGTTTTTAAGGATGAAAAAAAAGTCATTTAACAAAGCACCCCCGCCTTTTTTTTTTTTTTTTAAATGACAGGGATCTATTCTTTCAGAGTTCTGGAGGCCAGATAAAGCATCACATTTTTTAAAAATATATATTTTATTGATTTTTTACAGAGAGGAAGGGAGAGAGATAGTTAGAAACATCGATGAGAGAGAAACATTGATCAGCTGCCTCCTGCACATCTCCTACTGGGGATGTGCCCACAACCCAGGTACGTGCCCTTGACCAGAATTGAACCTGGGACCTTTCAGTCCGCAGGCCGACGCTCTATCCACTGAGCCAAACCGGTTTCAGCAAGCATCACATTTTTAACCATCCTGTTGAACTGAAGAAATTAGGGAGCCCTACATCCAAACACAGACACTGATAGCATGAGTCTCCATTTCCCATTATTGTTCAATGTTGCTACTTTTTAAAGTGACAGTCCTAAAAGCTTTGACCATTTTGGCACATTTTGCTTCATTAGTTTCAAAATGCCTTTACAATTATTAACTTAAAATGTAATTTTAATTTTTGTTTACATTTTTCACTGCTCAACTTAGTGCTATATTTATCACAATTACTAGGTACAAATGAAATAATAAAGGGACCAGCCATCAGAATAATGAGATACTGCCCCTCCTCAGCTGTGACCTGTGCTGCCCTGCAATGGTGGGGGCTCACACATCTCCATCTTCCTGCCCTCCCCCCCCACTATGCACCTAGGTGTGTGCCTGTGTCTGTGGGCTCAGATGTGCGTGCATGTGTGTGTTCCCATGTGTGTGTGCAGGCACCCATCTCCTGTGCTGCTGCCCTCACCCTTCCTCCCATCCAGATCCAATCCCCGCCTGTTCAGGACTCTGCCCTATTTGTACCATCTTGGCTGACTTCAGAAGGTGCCCAGGGGTAGTCTAGTAGTTGGTAACCATGAAAGTTTTCCTCTTCAGTTCAAGTTAAGGCAAATAGTGCTTCCCATCACAACAGACAAGCCCTGAAACCTTATTAGTACACTAGCAACCCGGTGCACGGATTCGTGCACACTGAAAGGAAATTAGAAGATGGCCAGCGGGGTGGGACTGGGCGAGATGGGCCAGACACACCCTGAAACCAACCTCCCGTGGTCCCTCCTGGCATCTGCGGAGTGAGTGGGGGGTCCCTCCGGCAGGTGGGGTCCCTCTGCCTGGCCTGCGGGGATTAGGCCAAAACTGGCTCTCTGACATCCCCTGAGGGGACCTGGAGGGGCCCTGGAGGGGTCCCGGAGTGCGAGAGGGCACTCTGCAAAGTTGCCATTATATAGGGTGTGGAAAGCAAACGCCAAGTGTGCAGTAAACCAGATTCAGGGCCCACAGTGCCCCGGCAACAACATGACCCACAGCCGAAGGTGGAATCATGCAGCCCCATGAGGAATCGGGCTCACTCCACTCCTGCATTGAGCGTCTGCCCCCTGGTGGTCAGTGCACATCATAGTGACCAGTTGGATGGTCGGACACAGCATATTAGCCTTTTATGTACAGTAGGTCCTCGGGTTAGGTTGGAGATCGGTTCCAATGGTGCAATGTAACATGATTTCCGCTGTAAGTCAGAACCCACCTACATAAGCACCTACGTCACTCACATGGAGCACAGACACAGCAGTAATGAAGTGAAACAGTAAAAAAAATTTAAAAGATAACAATTCCTGACCTTTACTTGTGGTAAATAAATAATAAAAAACATAAAGCATATACGTACATACATCAAAATGACGGAACTTTTTTTTAAAATAAATAAATGGGAGATGGCGATGTAATCATGAAACGATGTACGTCTCAGCTCAGCATTGTTCCATTTCGTGATCGCCAGTCCCAGGTGGGCTGCTCCCAGGTGGACTTCTGATCTGTTTGTGCTCCCTGACAGGCTTAGTGTTAGGTCCCCGAAGGAGGAACGCAGGAGACCAGAACAGTGAGGGATTACGAATGCATTCGATCATCCGCACCCAGATGGCTGAGCCTGGATGGCTCCAGCACCCAGTGAGGGGAGCCAGCGGCTTTTGAATGACGTTTGGCGGGCTTTTCCTGGGCGGAGAATTCTTTGTGCACACCCGGAGGGGAGATCATGGAATGTGGTCGCTGCAAGTGAAATGAGGTCTCTGCAAAGGGAACGTCCATGGTGAAATGGCCTGAAAAGCCAGTTCCCTGGGGGAGGGGTAGCCATTCAATTGCTCCATCAAACCTAACACCTAGTTCACGTCAGGTTCAGGGCGCAGGAACCACAGCGCACGAAGAAGCTGCCGAGAGACAGCGCGGGATATCACACGTGACGCCTATTTACTGAACATCCGCCACCCGGCCCTGTGCCGGTCGGACAGGTGCAGCAGATGAACAGGGAGACCCCAACGGGGTGGGACCTGGCGGTCCCGCACCCGGAAGTCAGCGCGGGTTTCCGAGGACGTGCGGGCCACAGCGCGGGTGAAGGGGCGTCCTAAGCACGCGGTCCGGGGGAAGGGGCGGCCGGGGCACGGACAGGAGACGGTCCTAGGGAGCGGCCGCGTGGGTCCCGGCTGCTAACGCGGTGGGCGCTCCCCGTGGGCAAGGACGCCACCAGTCCCGTTCTTCCGGTCGAAGGACCGGAAGCGGAAGTGGACGCGAGTCGTTCAGTTCCGGTCGGGCGGCGGGCGGCGGCTGCACAGACGGTGAGGGGGTTGCGGGCGGGGGGGAACATGGATGCGGACTCCTGGGCGGTGGTCGCCATCCCGGGCGGGGGTCACCTGTCTCCGCCGCTGTCCCTCCCCGGGCTCGGGCGGGCGGGGCGCGACCCGGAGGCGGACGGTGCAGCCCGAGCAGCTGCCGCCGTCGCCCCGTTGCCCAAGTAGGCTCGGGCCTCAGTTTA